GCGATCGAATGTACTTACTCACAGTGCGCCGCGGCTTTGGATTGCCGCTTTCCAAACTCATTTTCACATTGGCGCTTTGCCCACCACCACAATTACGCAAAAGATGAAGTCGTCCATGATCGCCTCCCTACTCATGCTCGGCCTCGCGCACGGTCTGCAGCTCTCGGCGCAAGAGAAGGACGACCTCAAGGCCGAAATTGACGCGTGGAAGAAGAGCCGCGCCGGTCAGCTCGCGGCCAAGAACGGTCTCTTGCCGGAGCCGTCCAACTTGGAGTCGGGCGAGATCGACGACGGCAGCGAAGAAATCGAGCGCTTTGCCCACACCAAGCAGGTCGTCGCGGAGCTCAACAAGAAGCACCCGCACGCCAAGTTTTCGACCAACAACCAGTTTGCGCTCATGACCGAAGACGAGTTTGCGGCCTTTGTGAAGGGCTCGTTCAGCGCGTCCAAGCCCAAGCGCCAGCTCCGCGCCGACGACGTGCAGATGACGCTCTCGGAAGCGCAGCAGGAGGCCGCCGGCGTCGACTGGACGACCAACAAGTGCATGTCGCCGGTGCGCAACCAGGGTCAGTGCGGCTCGTGCTGGACGTTCTCGTCGGTCGGCGCGGTCGAGTTTGGTCACTGCCTCATGACGGGTCAGCTCGTCGACTTTTCCGAGCAGCAGCTCGTGAGCTGTGCGTCGAACGCCGGTAACGGCTGCCAGGGCGGCTGGCCCGACAAGGCCATCGACTACATTGCTCAGACCGGCCTTTGTACCGAGTCGGGGTTCCCGTACGCGTCCGGCAGCTCCAACCAGAACGGTCAGTGCCAGAACTGCCAAAAGACCAAGGTCAACATCGGCAAGTCGGTCAACGTCCAGGGCGAGAGCGCGCTCCAGTCGGCGCTCGACAAGCAGGTGGTCTCGGTCACGGTCGAGGCCGGCAACAACGTGTGGCGCAACTACCAGAGCGGCGTCGTGCAGAGCTGCCCCGGCGCGCAGTCGGACCACGCTGTCCTCGCGGTCGGCTACGGCTCCAAGAACGGTGTGAACCACTTCAAGATCAAGAACTCGTGGGGCACGGGCTGGGGCGAAGGCGGCTACATCTACTTGCAGCGCGGCGTCAGTGGCCGCGGTATGTGCAACGTCGCCAACGGCGTGTCGTACCCGACGCTCCTTGGCAAGCCGTCCGAGTCGCCGTCGTCGCAGCCGACGTCCAAGCCTTCGTCGCAACCGACGTCCAAGCCGACGCAAAAGCCGACGTCCAAGCCGCAAAACGCGTGCAACGGCTGCTCGGGCTGCTACTATCCGGCGGCGACGCAGTGCTTGACGGCCGACTACGACAAGAACTACTGCGAGTACCTCGCGCCGCAGTATGGCACCAAGTGGTGCGGCGCCTAAGCTGGTCCTTGTCCACGTGTACTAGTAAAAGCAAAACAAACATGATGTATTGATGTCCATGCAACAATGTTGTGATCCCAACCTAGAATACGGTCCCTTGTTAGTCCTTGGGCGACTAGACAAGACTGGTACGCTTGATGTCCAATGATTTGTGTTGAGTCTTCTTCTTCTGGCGTGACTTGTGCAAGCGGTGCGCAGCCGACTGGGTCAGCGGCCAAGTTTTGAGAAGCTGCTGAAGGCGGAGGAAACTGGATCTCTTCAACCTCGACGCACTGTCGGCAGACGAATTTGACTCGCGGCACCCGATGGTGCTCCTTGCGGATGCAGTTGGTGGCCCGCTACCGTCAGTGTACTACTGCATCGACCCTCTTGGCAGCTATCGGAACGGTCGCCGGTGCATCGTCGTAATCTCTCAAACTCGCTACCGGTACCGCAGCAATGGCAGTCACCTCGGGTGGCGCTGGTTGTCACTGCACGACTGCAACTCTTGCTGCAGTGCAGCAGAGTCGAGCCTGTGATGATGGCAACGAATCTCCGCCGCGTCTCGCTCAGGTCGGATAGCGACGTTCACTATTGTAGGAGATTTTTTAGGCATTATCAGAATGATGCGCTAATAACAAAACAAGCTAGCAAGTTAGCAATTTGCTGTGTCGCTGAGTCCGAGTCGCTCGCCTCTCGAGCGGCTGAAAGGACCCACGATCCAGCGCACCCAATCAAGAAGGGCAACAGTGGGCATCGAACGAGTAGCATCCAGCTCGCGCCGCCACGTCACTGTCCATCTGTTGTTTATTTATCAAAAGCGTCTCGATTGCCGTTGAGAGAGCGCCTTTGTTCGCCACAGAGCACTTTGTATGCCGTCGACACCACCGTATGCAGCACCAACCTCGCAGTAATTGTGCTTTAGATTTATAGGCGCCCATCTTTAGACACGTGCTTGTTGTAGGGAGCCTAAGCTGTCTCGAGGCTTTCATATATTGAGACTGATGTGAGATATTGTAATATGATGAGAAAGTTGTAATAAATGCAGGTGTTCGAAACCGCACCAGGTGGGCAACATGGTCACGGTCAAACGAACGGGTGCGACGTGTTGTGATGTCCGGCGGAGAAGAGCGAGCGCATGATTGGCGCGCCCAACGCCCACTTCATTTATATGCTGCGACGGCTACTCGTGGTGAGCCTTGCCCTCGCTGTCAGCGGCGACGCGGCACCGTCGCCGGTCGGCGTCGACCCGGTCGCCGGTGCGTGCTCGCGAGTCGTGACACAGCAGCTCCGCGATGGCCAAGCGCTGCGCACCGGCGTCTTTCTCGACTGCGCGAATGTGCTACGCACGGCGACGGCCTTCGACATTACGACGAGAGTGCAGTGGGCGACGTTCATTCAAACCAGCAGCTGCCTCCACGCGGTGCGCATCGTCCAGGGCATGTACAATGGCGTCGTGCCCCCGTGCTGGGTCTCGCCCGGCACGACGACGCAAGCCGTTGCGACCATGTCTCTTGAAGCGTTTGGTACGGTCGTCTTGCGCCTACCGACGCCATCGCCGTCGACGTCGATGCCAAGTACACCGACAACCTCCACGGGGACACCGACACCGGTACCGTCGTCCGGTCGACCGCTGCCAACACCGCATTGGCCGGACGCCAACAGCTCCTATCCTGACCACGTTGTGCCGACGATGCGCAACAATAGCACCGACGACTACTCGCAATACCGCCTCTACTTTGACGGCGCGTCGTCCGCGTCGATCGATGGCTCACTGTACGTGCTGCTCGCCGTTGCCGTCGACATGCTCTTTTGGGACGTGTAGAGCTTCGCACCCACATATTTAATGGCTTGTACTACCGTCTTCCTTATGAATTAAACGGCGTGCGATCGTGTGGCGTCGGTCGTCTCTCATGTAGTTGATTGAGGTCAAAGCCAATACGGCTACAACGCCCGAGCACACGCCCCGTCCAAGTAACGCGTGCGTACAGTAGCGTGTGCGAGGGGCCACGAACGCAGCAGGAGGATGAGCGGACTTTGGCTTTGCCCGGTGTCAACTCT